ACTGATACTGGGAAACAACAGAGACTGTGTGAGGGAGGGTTGTTTCTCCTTACCTCCCTTGCTGGCTTATGATGAAAATGGCTCAGTAGACTGTGACCCTTGCCTCTAGAGAGAGAAGGGCTATGTGGAGGGTCACAGTGAGGCTCTGAGGCTAGCAAAATCCGTCAGGAAACGCAGGACCCACGGAGTCAAGGACAGAACTTTGTCACAGTAGGTTACAATCCTCTCATATTCTACTGCTTTAATGATCCAATCCTATGTGGAGAAAACATTGTGGTTGGTACTGCAACTCAGCTCTGTCTTTTGGAGTTTCCTGCAGTTTTGTTGGCTTCCAAACGTCTTTGGTCTCCAAGCCTTTGTATGGCTGAGAAAGGGACTTTGGTCCAAAGGTAAACCTTTGACACCTTATTTGCATTGACATTGACATGACCACTCTCTCTGAAACCAGACTAGCTGATGCCGGATCTCTATGGTTGATGCATTACACCTTTTTCTGGCATGGAAAAAGCAAAGGACCACCGTGGATACAGGGTGGGCTTTGCAGTCAAAAACTCATGAGCACCCAAAGTCAAATGTCCTATTGCAACATCAGAACATATTGTATTATATCATCATATGTATCCCTAAATATACTTACTATACATAGCTTTGCCAATATCCATACATGTCCCAACACTTTCCTCCATTTCTGAAGAGAAGGACTTACCCTATGAGCAGCTTCATAGTGTCACCAGTAAGCTACCAGCGATTGTTGGGAGACTTCAAGGTTAGAGCTGGCTCAGATCACGAGTTGTGGCCACTATGCAGTGGGGACCATGGAGTGGGGAAAATGAATGAATGAATGAATGGGGAAAAAGACTACTAGAGCTTTGCACCCATCAAAGACCTATACCTACTTCCAAGGCATCATTGGAAGGTCTCATGGATTTAATTGTCACTCACATAAAACACCTGCAGAATGTTCCCCGTACACAGTTTTCATGACATAGACCATGCACTTGTATGCTACAAAACAAGATTTTCACTATGGAAATTCCACCATACTAAAGAAAGCTGTTGCCTACACATTAACATCAGCAACACAAAAGACCAAGGAAGGTGTCGCCAATTTATTTTATGAGTTGGGTGAAAACATTATGTATCTCAGGGAAGGTATGTCCTCTGTTTATACCTCCCTGAATGCTGAAGCAGCATAGAATACACTCGGAAGACATATCTATACAGCTGCAACTTTATTTTGTACCATCATTTTATCAAAAGCTAAAGATTGGTTTCCGGCATATTCTGAAGAATTGCTCCTAGTCATGGAAGCAAAATGTACAGCATTCCTCCAGCACAACATGAACCCCTCTCCTGATACATGTATTAACCTCAGACTGGCCAAGAGCGCATTGCAACCAGAACCAAGCAATGTGCTTAATCACACATGGCTCTGTTTGTGCGAGAAGATACAAATCATCTGTTTTGAGCCAGGGGTTGGACTAGATGACCTCCTGAAATTTCTTCCAACCCTAATCTTCTATGATTCTGTGAAATGTCCTTGAGAATGGAGATCTAAGAGGTATGTATGATTGCATCAAGAAAGCAATAGGTCCTTAAGCCAAGAAGACTGCTCCACTCAAATCTAATAAGGGAGATATGATCATTGACAGAGGCAAACAGATGCAATGTTGGGTGGAACACTATTCCGAACTTTATTCTCGTGAAACCACTGTTTCTGAAGCAGCACTAAATGTGATCCTTAGGCTCCAGACTAGCAAAGAGGTTGATATAGAACCATCTGTAAACGAGCTTGAAAAGGCAGTCATCTGCCTAGCATCAGGAAAAGCCACTGGAAAAGATGGAGTTCCAGCTGAAGTACTGAAATAAGGAGGATAGGTTGTGCTTAAACATCTGCACAATGTCTTTCATGCTTGTTGGAGGGAAGGAAGGATGCTACAAGACATGAAAGATGTCAACATCCAAATGTTTTATAAAAATAAAGGAGATTGGAATGATTGCAACTACTATAGAGGAATTTCTCTCCTTAGTATTGCTGGCAAGGCATTTGCATGAGTCATTCTCAACAGGCTCTAAGTTCTTGCTGATCGTGTATATCCAGAGACTCAATGAAGCTTCCATGCCAGTAGATCAACTATCAAAAAGGGTTTTGCACTAAGGCACCTGTAAGAAAACTGTCAAGAACAGAGAAAAACCTCACTATATGACCTTCATAGATCTTACAAAGGCTTTTGACCTGGTAAGCAGAAAGGGCCTTTTTCAGTTGCTCGAAGGAATTGAGTGCCCCCCAATCCTCCTTAGTTTGATTGGATTCTTTCATGATTGCATGAAAGCTACAGTCCAGTATGATGATCAGTTTAACAGCTTTGAAATCTGCAGCAGTGTCAAACAAGGGTGTGTTTGGCACCAACACTCTTCAGTTATTTTTTGCTCTACCAATCCATCATGCCTTTTCACCTAGCACCGAGAGTATACCTCTCCATACAGGATAAGATGGAAA